AGCCAGTTCAACCCACAACTGGTGCCCGTCAGAAACCTTTGCATGAACAGAATGCTCAAGTGGCAGCAGACCCGAAACTTCTAATGGACGTCCGTGTCAACCTCTTTCCTCTTGCTGATGGAAACTCTTCCGACAAAGAGCTAATTGGCCCTGAAATTTCAGACCCTCACTCTTCCTCTTCTTCAGTTGCAGATCTTTCCGAAACCCTGTCTATATTTTGTTTCATTCTATTTATGATGAAATATCTGGCATACCTTTAGAAAATCGGAGGCCAATTAAACAAACAAATGAATCTTTTCCCAAAACTGAAATCAATTTATTAAATGATATTATTTCTATGAAACTTTCATCGGACTGTTCATTACATGAAGTTAATTGTTGTGTCTATGCTGCCGCTCGAACCTTGGAGGAAATTCACACAGTTTCCAAAGAAAAAACATCTAATACTAAGAACAATACACCAAAGAAAAACCGGTTTCAAGTAAAACTAACGGAAACTAGAAAATACATTTCCTGGATAGAACTGTGCCTGAAGTTAAGATCATCAGGGAGTCCAATGTCAAAACGGCAAAAGACAATTTGGAGAAAATTAAAAATACAATACAAGACAACAAAAGAAAAGGTACTTCTCCAAATTGTCGATTCTCTTAAGGCCAAAATAAAGGTTTGGACTGAAAGAAAGAAAAATGGGAAAAGAAAAATAAATTCATCAAACAAAATAAACTTTTTAGAACCAATGAAAAACACTTCTACAGGCAACTGAAAACAAAAGGTGACGGTGAACATGACAAACGGCCTCCAATGGATGCCAATGAAAGGTTCTGGAAACAGTTGTGGTCTGTACCCGGCAACTGTAACCTTGAGGCACCATGGGTCCGTGATTATGACCATGCAATGCATGAGAAGGTAACTAGGGCGTTTGTCTGTTACATCTCACCAGATTGCCTGAAAAGTGTTATAAAAAAGTCCAAATCAAATACAGCTCAGGGCCTGATGGCATTCGAAACCGGTATTGGAAACTGTTCCCTGTGTCCAAACACCATTACTTCACTGTTTCAATACTCTCGTGGACACAGGTGATGTTCCTCCATGGTTCTGCAAAGGTCGCACAATACTTCTCCCCAAAAAAGGAGACTTGACTGATCCCAAAAACTTCCGCCCTATCACATGTTTGAATACACAATACAAAAATATTCACAGGGTGTTTGACAAACCTCGTGTCATCTTACTGCTCTTCCAATGATATCATTTACAGAGAGCAGAAGGGAGCAAGAAAGGGATGTTGGGGGTGCAAGGATCAACTTCTTGTACAGAAAATGATTTTGGAAAAGGCTAAAACTTATCACCGCAACCTCTCCATGTGCTGGATTGACTACAAAAAAGCATACGACTCTGTCCCTCACGAATGGATTCTGAAGTCTCTTCATTGTATTGACCTCCCTGAGCGACTACTTGATTTACTCAAGTCTTTGATGAGTTGCTGGTCGACTCAACTTGAGATGTACTCGCAAGGGCAGGTGCAGACTTCGGAATCTATTCCAATCAGAAGGGGAATATTTCAGGGGGATTCCTTTAGTCCTTTGCTTTTTTGTCTTTCTCTAAATCCTTTGAGCTTTCTGCTCAATAAAGAGGAGGGTTACCATCCCGGACCTCCTCAGCACAGATCCCCAACACCTGTTACTCATCTCCTTTACATGGATGACATCGAACTCCTTGCCAAAGGAGATTCCAATTTGAAAGAGCAGGTTCTCCTTGTCGAGTCCTTTTCTAATGATATTGGCATGACATTTGGACTCGACAAATGTAATACTCTTCATTTGAAACGTGGCAAGGTAACTAATGATGGATCGGTCAGGTTACAAGGGGGAGGAGTTATTGAGCATCTTGTGGAAGATCAGGCCTACACCTATCTTGGAATGCAAGTTCGAGACAAGCTCCAGAATGCCCAGATTCAAGAAAAACTTCGGGCCGGTAGTATAAATCTCGTTTAAAGAAAATCTGGAGCTCAGAGCTAAATGCTCGTAACAAGGTCAAAGCCACCAATACTTTTGCTGTGCCAGTCCTCTCCTATTCCTTTGGAGTAGTTGATTGGACAAAACAAGACATCCAGAGTCTTGACCGTCTGACCAGAAGAATCATGTCTGATAACAGAGCCCACCACCCTCGTTCCTCTCTTAACCGTTTATACATGCCAATCAATTCTGGAGGTCGGGGTTTGATTAATGTGGAGGCTCTTCATGACAGAATTTTATTGTGTACTTTTGCACATATTTATTTATCGGATGATCCTCTGGTGATGCATGTGAAGACTCATGATGAAAGCAAGGAATTCCACAGCTATTTTAAGCGTGCCAAGGTTGTTGGACAGAATCTGAAATTTGAGGTTGATTTTGTTGATGGCGATGTACTGCTGGACGGTACAGCGATGGGAGTAAACCAGGTGAAGTCCTTTACCAAGTCTGCCCAGAGTCGGTCTTTTGTGGAGAAGCTTTCTGAGAAGCCATTGCATCGTGTGTACATGCAGTGTGTGGAACAGAATAGCCATCCCACCGACTCCTTCGCCTGGATGAAGTCGGCTGGTCTTAAATGTGAAACTGAGGGCTTCCTTTTTGCTGCTCAGGACCAGTCACTTCCCACTCGTAATCGCCTAAATGTGATTCTTAAAGAGAATATTAACATGAAATGTCGACTTTGCAATGAATTTACAGAGACTGTCCAACACCTTGTCAGTGGATGCCCTTCCTTGGCACAAACAGCATATCTTAAACGACATGATGGCATGGCTCGTTGCTTTTACTACCGTCTCCGACATGCCTGTGGCTTTGACTCCCGAGGTCCATCCATGGTACGACCCTGAACATGTCCAGGGCGTCATGGAAAATGATGCTTTCAAACTTCTGTGGAATAGGCCAATATACAGCCTCAGAAGAATTCCAGCTAACAAACCTGATCTTGTCCTTTTTTGATAAAGCCAATGAATTTATTTATATCATTGAATTTTCTGTCCCTTTTGACACCAATGTGATTGGCAAGATTAAGGAAAAGCATGATAAATATGCGGACCTCGCCTTTGAAATGTCTCGCTTGCATCCCAAGTACACTGTCGTCAGGCTCCCCATTGTTCTCGGTGCCCTTGGTTTGGTACCTCCTGATCTCTTGGCGCAGATCAGGAGAGTGCCTGGGTTCTCCACCGGGAGTACAGCCCTTCTGACACTCTGGGTAATGCAGAAGGCTGCAGTGTTGGGGAGCCTTCATATTCTCCGGAAAGTTCTTGGTGGGTTCGACTAGGCAGCGTTTCCTGGGAGAAGTCCCATTCGCTGTCTGGGCTGTGTGTAGAGGGGGCAAGGGCCCTGAGCTGATGATGAGCCTTACCAGCCTGACTGTGCCAGGATCACCCGAACCCTCTCTGCTGCATACAATTTTTAATCTGTAAAACATAATATGTGTATTTATAATGCGCTGAATTCCACACATAAGGCATGTTCACAGCTCTACATATTTACAAATATTTACAAAGCAAAGGTTATGCTAGAACGAGGGTGAAAGTTTTGGAAAGTTAAGTTATAGATTGTAATATTTTCTGAAAAGATGGGTTTTCAGGGAACTTTTAAATGAGTCAATGGAGGGAGACATTTTGAGTTCAGTCGGGAGTTGATTCCACAACTGTGGAGCACCATAGCTGAAGGAGTGAAACCCGAATGCCCGGAGTTTCTGTGCGGGAATGGTGAGAAGGTGTCTATCTGCCGATCTTAACATTCTGGAAGGATTGTGCTTGGTGACTAACTCAACAAGGTAGTCTGGAGCCGTAAGATGGTAACACTGGTAGGCAAGACTCAGGACCTTGAATTCAAGGTCGTTGACCTCCAGAACAGCTTGACATACCATGACGCATGAGCACTACGCACTACAAATACAGCTACGAACGAATACTAAAAGTACTTTTTTAAAGCTGAACTAGTCTTTGTATGACGTTTGTCAACACACAAACATTCTGGAATCCATGTTAAAACAGGACCCACATTTTTGCAACCATTCATTGACATAACAGGCAACTAAACGGACATTGTACTCCAGGTTTCATCGCATCACGTGGCTATGGGGTAGCCTAGTTGTAAAAGCGTATACTATGCTCGTCACGCCGAAGGCCCGGGTTCGATTCCCCACATGGGCACTATGTGTGAAGCCCATTTCTAGTGTCCCCCGTCGTGATATTGCTGGAATATTGCTAAAAGCGGCGTAAAACTATACGCAGTCCATCGCATCACGTGCCCCGTGACGCTGCTCGTAATATCAATCACCTTTTTGTTTCTGTCCGTTGGCTACAGACCGCAGTATGAACATGTAGTATGCTGATTGTTGTGTTACAAAACAAACAACTAAACATAAAGCAACCACTACATCAGCCAATTACTTTAATTACACATAGGACCCGTGAAGGTCCGGTTAGAATGAATCTTCAGTAACCCATGCTTGTCGTAAGAGGCGACTAACGGGATCGGGTGGTCAGGCTCGCTGGCTTGGTTGACACAATGTCATCGGTTCTCAATTGCGCAGATCGATGTTCATGCTGTTGATCCCTGGATTGTCTGGTCCAGACACGATTATTTACAGACCGCCGCAATATAGCTGGAATATCACTGAGTGCGGCGTAAAACTAACCTGTTGTATGTTAATTACATCATTACTGCTTCCAAACATACCGCTTCACTCACTCAGTATCCCTGATAACACCAAACACTTACATTTTGTCATCTGAAAACAAATACACTGCACGTTCACTTCCCCGTTCATTTCAGCGTCGGTATGTTTACAGGTAACATAACACTACACTGAAAACACGTGTTTATCTCCGTCCTACAGTGTATATGCACTGACAAGTTCCAGCATGAATCTTTAGAAACACGGACAATATATATGTTCTGGGATTTATTCACTAAATATAACATTTTCTCCCGAAAAAACACTGACATGTAAAAGTACGGAAACAGAAAGCAGCACACCTGTATAATAATCGGTTTCCATGTGTAGCATTTAAGATCCCGCAAGCTTGAAGGCATGAACTCCAACGGAAAACTCCGAACTTCACAACGACAATGTTTCTCCATCTGTGAATAAAAGCGACAAAGCCATTTCCATAATCGTCAGTAATCGTAGTTAAAGGTGCAGTCCGTTGTACTATGCCGCCCACATTATAAGGATCTGTTTATGGTGTATCACAACTTGCTCCACGCATCACAAACACATGCAAAGTCAGGCCAGGTGAGCCATTGTAAAACGTGCATCAAGGTATATACTGTAATTGTCCGTCTTGACGGGGTCTTCACATCCTTTCATATAGTGTTAAGACCCCGTCAAGGACAGTATGTACCTTGATGCCCGTTTTAAGCGTTACAAGCTCCTGTGATTGTACCTAGCAAATATATATGCATACTGATAATTATCTTATGTGTGAATGCATTATCTTGTGTATGTTACAATTTGATAATGATTCCTGTTCATTATCCAACTGTATATTATGTTCATTATGTTATTGTATTATGTTCATTATGAAATTGTATTATATACTTATTTTGTTTATGTTCATGATCTAATTGTATTAGGTTCATTAGGTAATTGTTTTGTATTGCATTCATTATGTAATTATATTATGTTCATTATCTAATTGTTTTGTATTATGTTCATTATGTAATTCGTTATATTCATTACATACTTATTTTGTATTATGTTCATGATCTAATTGTACTAGGTTTCATTAGGTAATTTATTATTTTCATTATATACTTCTTTTGTAATATGTTCACGATAGAATTGTATTATGTTCATTTTGCAATTGTTTTGTATCATGTTCATTATGTAGTTATAGTATATTCATTATGCAATTCTATTATATTCATTATGCAATTATTTTCTATTATTTTCATTATGTTATTGCATTATGATCATTATGTCATTGTATTATGTTAATTATGTAATTGTTTTATGCTCATTATGTCAGTGTATTATGTTCATCATTGTTTTATGTTCATTATGTCATTGTTTTATGTTCATTATGTTCATCATTGTTTTATGTTCATTATGTCATTGTATTATGTTCATTATGTCTCTGTATTATGTTCATTATGTCAATGAATTATGTTCATTATGTCAATGAATTATGTTCATTATGTCATTGTATTATGTTCATTATGTCATTGTATTATGTTCATTATGTCATTGACTTATGTTCATTATGTCATTCTTTTATGTTCATTATGTCATTGTATTATGTTCATTATGTCATTGTTTATGTTCATTATGTCATTGAATTATGTTCATTATGTCATTGTTTAATGTTCAGTATGTCATTGTATTATATTCATTATGGCATTGTATTATGTTCATTATGTCATTGTATAATGTTCATTATGTCATTGTATTATGTTCATTATGTCATTTTATTATGTTCATTATGTCCTTTTATTATGTTCATTATGTCATTGTATTATGTTCATTATCTCATTGAATTATGTTCATTATGTCATTGTTTTGTGTTTATTATGTCATTGTATTAAATTCATTATGTCATTGTTTTGTGTTCATTATGTCATTGTATAATGTTCATTATGTCATTGTATAATGCTCATTATGTCATTGTATTATGTTCATTATGTCATTGTTTAATATGTCATTGTATTATGTTCATTATGTCATTGTATTATGTTCATTATGTCATTGTATTATGTTCATTATGTCATTGTTTTGTGTTCATTATGTCATTTTATTATGTTCATTATGTCATTTTATTATGTTCATTATGTCATTGTATTATGTTCATTATGTCATTGAATTATGCTCATTATGTCATTGTTTTGTGTTTATTATGTCATTGTATTAAATTCATTATGTCATTGTATAATGTTCATTATGTCATTGTATTATGTTCATTATGTCATTTTATTATGTTCATTATGTCATTTTATTATGTTCATTATGTCATTGTATAATGTTTAATATGTTATTGTATTATGTTCATTATGTCATTGTTTAATATGTCATTGTATTATGTTCATTATGTCATTGTATTATGTTCATTATGTCATTGTATTATGTTCATTATGTCATTGTTTTGCATTCATTATGTCATTGAATTATGTTCATTATGTCATTGAATTATGTTCATTATGTCATTGTTTAATGTTTAATATGTCATTGTATTATGTTCATTATGTCATTGTTTTATGTTCATTATGTCATTGTATTATGTTCATTATGTCATTGTTTTATGTTCATTATGTCATTGTATTATGTTCATTATGTCATTGTTTTATGTTCATTATGTCATTGAATTATGTTCATTATGTCATTGTTTTATGTTCATTATGTCATTGTATAATGTTCATTATGTCATTGTTTTATGTTCATTATGTCATTGTATAATGTTCATTATGTCATTGTATAATGTTCATTATGTCATTGTATTATGTTCATTATGTCATTTTATTATGTTCATTATGTCATTTTATTATGTTCATTATGTCATTGTATAATGTTTAATATGTCATTGTATTATGTTCATTATGTCATTGTTTAATATGTCATTGTATTATGTTCATTATGTCATTGTTTTATGCTCATTATGTCATTGTATTATGTTCATTATGTCATTGTTTTATGTTCATTATGTCATTGTATTATGTTCATTATGTCATTGTATTATGTTCATTATGTCATTGTTTTATGTTCATTATGTCATTGTATTATGTTCATTATGTCATTGTTTTATGTTCATTATGTCATTGTATTATGTTCATTATGTCATTGTTTTATGTTCATTATGTCATTGTTTTATGCTCATTATGGCATTGTTTTATGTTCATAATGTCATTGAATTATGTTCATTATGTCATTGTTTAATGTTTAATATGTCATTGTATTATGTTCATTATGTCATTGTTTTATGTTCATTATGTCATTGTATTATGTTCATTATGTCATTGTTTTATGCTCATTATGTCAGTGTATTATGTTCATCATTGTTTTATGTTCATTATGTCATTGTATTATGTCCATTATGTCACTGTTTTATGTCATTGTTTTATGTTCATTATGTTATTGTACAATGTATCATGTTCATTATGTCATTGTTTTATGTTCATTATGTCATTGTATTATGTTCATTATGTCATTGTATTATGTTCATTATGTCATTGTTTTATGTTCATTATGTCATTGTATTATGTTCATTATGTCATTGTTTTGTATCATGTTTCACCTGCTTTCGTTCAGATGCCGTCAGTCCCAGATCATAGAGCACAAATGTGTAGTTATTAATCAGAGGGAAGACATTCCTGTGGAGGTTCCGGATCAGGGCCTGGGACTCGTAGAAGTGGTTGCTGGATGTTGCTGTGACAAACATTGTTCTTTTGCCGGTAGGGGGCTCTGGGAACCGTCTCATTAATATGTCCAGATCCTGTAGATTCCGTTCCGACATGGTGGACAGGACACTTCTCAGGTTCTCTTCCAGTGTTGTGGACTGTCGTGCCGGGCAGTCATTTCGAACACATGCCTTCCCTGCAAGGAGTGAATTTTATTCTCGGTCATTTTTAAAATTTACATACAAGTACAAACGCCATGGTGTTGGCAGTGAGAATAGTTAAAGTATAACTTGACTGACCTGGGAATGATTCCTTTTCACATGTTTTCACTTGATTGTTCCTCCATTGTCCCGCACGTTGTAAATCTGTTTGATCATGGAAGTATACTTTTAAGTACAATCAGATGACATTTTGCCTAAAAAACTTGAACTTGCAGTGACCATATGGTGATGTTATGAGTTATTTGAATGAAATGAACCAATCATTGGTCGTCACGTACTGCCTAATCTTTGACAGTTGGGCGGTGGAGTAGCCTAGTGGTAGCGTTCGCTCGTCACGCCGAAGACCCGGTTTCGAATCCCCTCATGGGTACAATGTCTGGTGTCCCCCGCCGTAATATTCCTGGAATGATGCTAAAGGCGGCGTAAAACCACACTCACTCACTTGCGCGATAGAATGTCCACCTTTGCGGGTTTTTTTCACATTCATAAAGTTAATCAAATTTCGTTTGCAGTTCTCATTGAAAGGGAAGCGTAACCGATGGGCATGTGTTATTTCCGTGTTAGGTCACCTCGGAAAACATATTGTTGCCAACAACCAGAGGTGTTGTCAATATATCTATAAATAGGAAGATTTATTTCATTAATGATTTGACGGTTTAGTTATTTTCGTTGAGTTTGTCATCCGCAACCATAGGAGTGAGTGAGTTTAGTTTTACGCCGTTTTATGCAATATTGCAACTCAGCAATATCACGGCGGGGGACAGCAGGAGTGGGTTTCTCAAATTGTAGCCATGTGGGGAATCGAACCCGGGTCTTCGGTCTGACGAGCGAACGCTTTAACCATTAGGCTACCCCACCGCCCTCACAACCACTCTTAGAAGCTAACGTGTACATACCTTTAGTTTTATTTGCGTACCCTTCAAGTATAGCGGTAAAGCGCAGACTCTCAACCCGAGCTGAAATGTGCAGGTATCACACAATGATGCTCCACATGTCAGTAGATAATGTTCTGATAATCAATTATACAGTGTCGTTAAGTCTGATATGTCAAAAAGTGCGAGTTGATTGTTCATGTATACTAATGGAAATAAGTAACTGTGCGTAACATAAAATTGCATTAAAAAAAGTTCTTTGAAAAGTTAAAAATTTAACCCTACATAAAAAGTTCTGCATGAAATCTGATGCATGCTATTTGACACCTAAAGTTCACACACCTGATATTGAAAATTGAAGAACGGTTGATTAAAACACGTTAATTTCAACCTAAACTGCCCGTACGTCATGTCACGGCTTACAGAAATTCAGCGTCTACGCGCCGTGGCTATACAGGAGACTGGATTGGCCCAAAATAAAGTGGTCAGCCATTTTGGTGACCATCTGATCTCTATGGAGACGTTTTCAACATAATGGGAACAAGAGAGATTTGTCTTGGAACGGCCGTTCTGCCTCATGGACAGTTGGCTTCCTCCTATTGCCGCTATTTTATTACCACTACCCACTGTTGTTGTTAATCTCGTTGATGCATACCTACATGTTGGTTTACTTAATCCCTGTTGATGTTTATAAATCCGTTCTGTGCTGCAGTACTTCACACTTGATCGCCAACGGTATAAGAATCTATACCGAAACGTCGCATCATATATAATACAGAAGTGCTTATCCATAAAGCCTGTTACTTTCTTGCCGCTCTACTGGTTCTGGTATACCACACTACTGATTGTGGTGTACCGCTCTACTGCTTGTAGTGTACCGCTCTACTGGTTCTGGTGTACCATTCTACTCATTGGGGCGTACCACACTACTGATTGTGGCGTACCACTCTACTGATTGTGGTGTATCACTGTACTGATTGTGGTGTACCACTCTACTGATTGTAGTGTACGACTGTACTGATTGTGGTGTACTGCTCTTCTGATTGTGGTGTATCACTGTACTGATTGTGGTGTACCACTCTACTGATTGTAGTGTACCGCTCTACTGATTGTGGTGTATCACTGTACTGACTGTGGTGTACGACTGTACTGATTGTAGTGTACCGCTCTACTGATTGTGGTGTATCACTCTACTGATTGTGGTGTATCACTGTACTGACTGTGGTGTACGACTGTACTGATTGTAGTGTACCACTCTACTGCCTGTGGTGTATCACTCTACTGATTGTGGTGTATCACTGTACTGACTGTGGTGTACGACTGTACTGATTGTGGTGTACCACTCTACTGATTGTGGTATATCACTGTACTGATAGTGGTGTACCACTTCACTAATTGTGCCGTACCCCCAACTGCTTGTGCTGTAACACTCTACTGCTGGTGGTCTACCCATCCATTGCTTGTGCTGTACTGCCTACTGCTTGTGGTGTATCAAGAAATTGTTATTTAATATTAGATGCTACTTACATTCATATGAAGCTTTGCCCACCAAACCAATGATCAAGGAAATGAGCACCAAGATGGCAACACCTGGAACCACATAAACTGTACTCTAAACATTCAAGTTTGACTGATTGAATAAAGATCATATTATGAACCAACCTTCTTTTTAACGAAAAAGTGAAATAGAAAAAAAAGATAAACATCCTATTCACCCACATTTGATAATACCATTGGAATATCATAATGTATACTTGAAAAACTTCATAGAAAATGGTTAAATGTTCATTGCAACACAAGAAACTAGAATGGTTGCAGTTAAAATGGTTGGGTCTCCAATTCGTAAACACCAGTAGTTGTCTAGAAGACAGACCCCTAAAATGGTGAAAATGTGGTGCAGTTCTGGCGACCAAACGGGATGTGACTTTTCATAATCAGGAATGATTGAGCTTGGATTTAAAGCTACCGTGCGTGGCTACCGCCCTTTTAAAGTGCAACATGTCATGTCAGTTATGGCAATATTTTAACAGATAACTGGATGGTTTAATTTAAAAACTCTGGTTTGGATTGACCGATTTTCATCAAAATAGTAGTTTTGGAATGCTGAGATCATGATTTGAAATTGTGGACAATAATATTACACATGTGCTCATCGCATAAAAATTGGTATGGTCAAAGGTCAATTTTAATAGAAAGGGCATTTGATGAGAAAATATGAGTTGAACTGTACAAATCAAAGGTAATTGTTTCCAAAATTATGTTTTCTAATTCAGTTATATCATTTGAAGATCATATATTCTTTTGGTTGGCACTGTATCCATGAAAAAAACATGGAAACAAAAGTTGGTACTTTGTATCGAGATCAGCAAAATGTTATATAATGTCTGTTCAACAGTAACAGCACCATGCTTTACATAGTCAACGATACCAAATATGTCGATGATGCTGTTGGACTATCATTAAAATCACACAGCATAACAGAAAGCTCTTAAATGTAAGATTCTATTATTCCAGATGTTTTTCCTTGCTCATCAAAGAATGATGAGCCAGTCATGTCATCATAACGCAAGCAACATTTCCTTCATATCAATTTGTGTCTATTGTTCCTAATAGTCATAGTGTATTCCCAGTTGACATGTTAGTCAATGTCAACAATGTCAAGATCACGGTGAACATGTTTCAAGTCCCCATCTACATGCTGAAGTACACAACAGGTTCAACCTCTTGCAGCTACACCTTCCTGTACATTGCCTTTTACATGCACAGTTATGAAGAAGAAGAAAGTCCACGGAAACGATTTAGTCCTAACTTATTTGCAACTTTATCAATTTTATAAGTTTAAAGTAATTTTACCAAAATTATGTTTTTATAATTCAGCTATAATATCATTTGAAGATCATACATACCTTTGGTTGGCACTGCATGCAACTAAAACAACTACTCAGCTGATGACAGAAGGATATATGTCTCAATATTGTTTATAATTGTGTCACTTCACGCTCCAGCTGCACTGCCATGCCGTGAAACCCTTAAAGCTGATGGATAATAATATGACTTTGGTTTTCTTGATTTATTTTACACCAGCAATTCTATCAATTCAGTACCAATCAGTTCAAATATTGCTATGAAGAATTGGTCTTACGATTGAAGTCTTTGGAGAAGTGTCATGATTTTACTTCTGATATAACAGTACCCTAATGATGTACGACAATTTGGGCTTTATATTTGTCAAAACATGGAAGTGCAGCTCAAAGTATCACATATTCTACCCTTCAGCTCTGGCTGTCCTTTTCTGCACTCCTCCTCGACTGTGTCAATATTTTAACGAGAGGGTATAGGTATATTTGTCCAAGAGACACCAGATTAAGCAAACATGGAAGTAACACATACGAAATATGCAATAGTATTAAGTATCCAGGGTCGGTGGGGTGGCCCAGTGGTTAAAGAATTCACTCTTCACGCCGAAGACCGAGGTTTGATTCCCCACATGGGTGCAGTGTGTGAAGCCCATTTCTGGTGTCCCCCGCCGTGATATTGCTGGAATATTGCTAAAAGCGGCGGCCTAACACCATACTCACTCACTCACTGACTAGTAAATGCCCCCTCAAAAGTACGGTTTAAAGCCAACATTTTTCTATATTCATGATGACGTTAAGAGAATCTGTACGAAGACCAGTGGCGTTCTCGTACAGAATCTATTTCAGAGAAAGTGTATGTATTTTGACATGCATGACAATTATCACAGGAATATTTAAAGAAATGTCCGGAGTCATGACCCGTACCTCCGTCCCTTGAAGCTCAAGTCACCCCTGACCTTTTAACTTTGATTTCTGACCTTTGACATTAACCTTTGTATACACGTTCGTCAGTTCATAAAGTACATGTGTGGACCACACCTTAGATATTCTTAACGTATTTGATATGTTGATAAAATTACCGGTTTATCTGCAATTTAGAAAATGTCATAATCCTTCATGAGTTTTATATCCTTCGTCATCGCAGCACGACACGGACATAAGAAAGTTCTGATTGTTCGACTGCAAAAAGATGTACAAACATACATATTTTTTTTAAAAGTTGTCTAAAATACTTTTAACAGGTATAAGACGTACATGAAACAATGAAACAGTCTTTAACAATTACAATCCACCAACAAAACGTTCTTCAAACCAACGCTAACACCGCGCCACCTGAAGGAAGTAAGGGAGGCCATCGCTGTTGAGGCGGAGCAAAAGGTATTGTTAAAATCGTAGATGAGGTTGTAGTGTTGACACATTTAACTGGAAAATGTCGGCGATGTTGCCTCCCTTGGGCTTCTGTGATGTAGGAATTCCTTAGAAGCTATAGGCTGTGGTTTATAAGGGACAGAGTCCTTGTCAAGCTTTGTACATCTTTCTAACACGGGGCAGCCACAGTGATGGCAAAATGTTTAAGATAAGGACATCACTTTGAACAAGGACAAACTTGTGAGCGTTCTGTGTTGACTTATTTGTGCAAACTGGACTCACCTTCTAAGGTAAGACAAACGTAATTCTAGTTCTTTATGCGCATTTAAATATAATATCATTACTATAATAATCATTATTGTCATGTCTGAAAGGTTTTCAGGTACGGTATATTTCATTGCATGATTAAATTGCTCTCAGGATCTATTCACCATATGATTATAAAACACACAGACAGCCCCCCACACACACACACACACACACACACATACAAACACACACACAGACAGAGACATAGAGACAGAGAGAGAGAGAGAGAGAGAGAGAGAGAGAGAGACATACATACATACATACATACATACATACATACATACATACATACATACATACATACATACATACATACATACATACATACATACATACATACATACATACATACATACATACATACATACATACATACATACATGCATGCATACATACATACATACATACATACATATATACATACATACATACATGCATACATACATACATACATGTGTGTGTGTTTACCACATGTTGCTGTGCATAGATATACATCTGTATGTGTATGTGTGGCGACACATATGTGTATATGCCAACAGTCTACATAATATCTTAGAATGTATTTAACCTACCTTAAGTTATTTTTCATTCCTATTAAAAAAGTAAATATAAAGCTTTATATTTCACTGAACCCATACGTGATTACTCAAGTAATTCTTATGAATATTATTATTATTACATGTACATCACTTGTAGATATCCATGCACTTGTGGTTGTTTTCCTTAAATGTTTTCTTTTTTAACTTTATGTTTTCTCAGTTGAGTTTTTCCAGCAATACTAAAGAAAGCCAAAAGAAAGCATACACGCACGCTAAAATTGAAATAAATTAGAAATGTCTGTTTCATACGGGTATAATAGCCGTGATCTATACGTTATGTTTCAGTTTACCATATTTGTTTATCAATCTATTTATCTGCTTCTTTTGTGTTCAGGAAAATATTGTTAAATCACGACTTGAGGAAACAGCAAAATGTTTTAAGTGATCTTTCCTTCAAAATAATCTGTACGTGTGTGCTGATATTGTGGGAAAACATGGAAGAAAAACAGTTTTATTTTCTTACTGTTTTTAAACTATTCAAGATCGTGTTGTTCCATGACATAGAAGTTTGGAGGCAAAAATATGTCATATGGCATAGATTATCAGCCGTTTCTCATAATAACAATCACCGAATTGTCTGGTTGAGAATCAAATGTTTATACGCCGAAGTGACATTGCTAGATTATTGTCGAGTAAGGTGTTAACAACAAGCAAACAAGCATGAAAAAATAGATTAAGACTTTATCGTAGAGCTGGCTTATCAAAATTTGACCAAAACTTTAAAGGTCATAAAAATGCTCCTGGGCTGAAAACATTCGCCGAAATGCTGAAAACGTGAGGATTAACACTCAGCTATTATACCCAGATCACATGTATCCCCATCGAATAAACATTTCTTCTTGTTTCTGTTTTACCCACAATCACACATAAGTGTATATATTTTTTGGCTGGTGGTGTACGTAATAGTGCTGCTTGTATTCGTGTTAAAACGATGCGACTTGAGCAATATCTATACTCAAATGAAAAGTGAGTGAGTGAGTTTAGTTTTACGCCGCACACAGCAATATTCCATCTATATGGCGGCGGTCTGTAAATAATCGAGTAAGGACCAGACAATCCAGTGATCAACAGCATGAGCATCGATCTGCGCAATTGGGAACCGATGACATGTGTCAACCAAGTCAGCGAGCCTGACCACCCGATCCCGTTAGTCGCCTCTTACGACAAGCATAGTCGCCTTGTACGGTAAGCATGGGTTGCTGAAGACCTATTCTACCCCGGATCTTCACGGGCCATCAAATGAAAAGAGAGTGTGTGTTTAGTTCATTCCGTGCCACTGGTGACGGGCTCCACAGTCATTCTCATGAACACCCTCACAACGGGAGATGCCTAATTATGCCTCGGTGACTCTGTAGCATTAGTATGTTGTCATGTGTGTAATAGTTATATATAATTACATGGATAGTGTGAAACATATGCATCGTGCTTTACTTGTGGTATTCCTCTTCACATGGACGGTGACATCGATAAAATAGCACACCACGAAATGTTTGAAATATATGCATTGTGTTTTACTTGTTTTATCCCTCGTCACAAGGACGGCTACATCAAACAAATACCACAAAGACACATGCGATATAGACTACTTTCTATGTATTCCCTGCCACACAGATGTAAGCTTGATGAAATATCGCACTTAGCACAAACGAACTGATAATGTTCATATATGAACGCAGAATCACGACTATTTTACTTGAAAGGTACATGACCACACGACCTTGGCTGTCTTCAAGAGATCCGTTCTCGTGTCAGAAACGTGGTCTTGGTGTTTGTGAAATCTATGCACGATTTCTGGCCTTTAAATGCACTTCAAACACTTGTACCTCACACATCACGTAGTTTCCGTCAAAATTTTGAATGTTCATATAGACTATGATTGACAGTTGCATAATCCGATTGCATCCCCCAGCTAGCAAGACTAAGAACAGAAAAGGAACATGATTCCTGGAAAACAAGGTATCACATTGCCTACTATAGTTCATATCACCCACGGGTCTGTACAAACACGGCTCGGTTCAGATAAGGCTACCATTGTTTGTGATCCTGACAATTTGAACAACGGGTTCTTGTCCTTTCGGACTATTTTTCCGGTGGCATCAAATTATATTGTTAGATCCAATATTATGAGCTTTTGAATAAATTGAATCCAAATCAAATCACATAACTTTTATTTATAAATCACTACACTAGCCTCCTGTTGCATCTCATATCAACTTTAATATCACCCGAGTGAAATTCTCAAGCTGCTACTAAAGGACTAATTCACATAAAGACTATGGAGCCCATTAATTTTTTCTACCATTTTTGTTAACTTTACAGAAACTCGACTTGTTTATACACGATGCACTGCCAAAACGTAAATGTGCATGTGCGACTCACCCATTATAACCGTTTTTACTTGTACTACAGTTCAGAAATGAAGGTATATGAACACGAGAACAGCAACACATTCAGGCATTATTGCTATGTTACATTATTGCTTACGTTTCCTTAAGCCAACTAATACGGTATTATCCCAGGAAAATACATTCGTTTAACGCCAACCCTGGCAACCCATCTTCGGAACTAACAAAGCAATCATTGGCCGATTATCTGGAATCCTTAGGTCAACACCTGGCTCTCTGTCCTGCCTTCCACATGGACCCGAGTAACATCTGACCTTTCCGCAACACTTTGCCCTAATGCTAGAAGAAAACACCACATGGCACTTTCCTCTGTCCACTTGCAAAGAGCGATGCTCATGGTGCCATGACCATGTTATCTGTAACTCTTTTGTGTATATAATTTGACATTACTAAAACTGATGCCTGCGTATTCTTTTATGAACGTTATGGGTAGAAGCAAAATGTTTATATAATCAAATGATCTAGGAATATCTTTGAGTTGCCCATAAAAGTAGGCACTTAATGTTTTTTATTTAAAGCCATACGTGTATGTCGTAATATATCTTCATCAAATATTCCTCTGTGATAACATGTCAACTGGGAATAAACGATGACTATTAAGAACAATAGATGCTGATTTATATGAAGGAGATGTTTCTTGCAATATGATGACATGACTGACTCATCATTCTTTGATGAGCACAGAAAGACGTCTGAAATAATAAAATTATACATTTAACAGCTTTCTGTTATGTTATGTGGTTTTAATGATAGTCCAACAGTATCTGGTATCGTATTTGGTATCGTTGATACTATGTAAAGCATGGAGCTGTTACTGTTGAACAGACATTATGTAATATTTTGCCGATCTAAATACAAAGTAGCAACTTTTATTTCCTTGTAATGGTTTTGGATGCTTAGAGTGTCAACAGAACGTATATATGATCTTCAAATGATGAAGTTGAATTGGAAAAACATAATTTTGGTAAAAGTACCTTTAATTTGCAAAGTTTAACTCATATTTTTCTCATGAAATGCGCTTTCTACTAAAACTGACCTTTTTGACCTTATCAAATTGTTTTGCGATGAGCGTATATTCATTATTCAATTGCATAGCGCACGTGTGTATTTTTGTGTGTGAGCGTGCGTCCGTGTGTGTTTGTGTGTGTACGTCTGTGCGTGTGTGTGTGTTTAAGCATGTGTCTGACCGTCTGTACTGGTTCGACCACATGTCGAATTTACAGCCTACTGAGATATAATACTTTAACAGGGAAACCTCACTTGGTATACTGATACCAACTTGTATTTTATCTCCTTGTGCCAAGCACTAGGCAGAGAACCATCTGTTACCGACCCGTAAATATCCGGGTTAGAATTGGTCTTCAGCAACCCATGCTTGTCGTAAGAGGCGACTAACGGGATCGGGTGGTCACTCTCACTGACTTGGTTGACACATGTCATCGAACCCCAATTGCGTAGATTGATGCGCATGCTGTTGATCGCTGGATTGCCTTTTCCAGATTCAATCATTTACAGACCGCCGCCATATAGCTGGATATTGTTGAGTTCGGCGTTAAGCAACAAACAAACAGTACTGTCTACTGGGCCACAGATGTGTTTCCCGTCGAGGGAATCTCTGTGAGATTATTCTTGTTGTATCATGATATGAGATTATGAGGAAACGCGACACTTATGTAGGTTGGTGATATATGATATTGGTTTAGATATTTAGTACGGGTATGTTGCTGAGATATCTCGGTCACATTTAGGATTCGAAAGTATATAATCATAGCATCTAAGGACGACAGCTCTGCATTATAATCCACCGTTGTCAGTAGAGATGTTGAAATAATGACAACATTACCTGGACCACATTCCATCTGGAGTGAGTGAGTGAGTGAGTGAGTGAGTGACTATGGTTTTATGCCGCCTTTACTAATGTTCCAGAGGGCACCGGAAAATTCCATCTGGAGTAGTTAAAAATAAACGGAAAAACATGCAAAATATACATGCTTGATGAACAATGTTTAGCATTCTAATCACTGCTCTCTTCGTCTTTCAGGTGTTATCAGCATAATACTAAATCTCAAAATGACGTGGTTGTCAGTCTTACGGGTCCTTTTGTTCATCGTTGTGGTCCTCTCGTCGACTCAAGGTCAAGGTGACCCAACAGTCACAACGAACCTAGGACGAATGTTTGGAAGAGTTCAGAGGTTTGGAAACAATTTCGTCTACCAATTTCTGGGTGTAAGGTATGCCGTGGCACCTGTTGGACGTCTTCGTTTCAAGAAGCCGGTCCCTAGGGGACGATGGACCGGGACTCTTGACGCTTCAAGGTTTGGTCCGCCATGTGCTCAACTGGGCAACCAGAGGTCAACCGAGGACTGCCTCTTGCTAAACATATACATTCCGAGAATACTTTCCCCTAACGCTACGAAGTCAGTGATGATCTGGATCCATGGAGGTGGATTCGTAAATGGACAGGGTTCGTCGTTAGATGGATCAAATATTGCTATTACTGGCGATGTCATAGTAGTTACTATTAACTACAGACTGGATGTGTTCGGGTTTCTGAGTACCGGAGACAGTAGCTCCTTGGGGAATTACGGCTTGTGGGATCAGCAGTTGGCAATGAGATTCGTCAGAGACAACATAGCCGCTTTTGGAGGCAACCCAAACAGTATTACCATATTCGGAGAGTCTGGGGGCGGATACAGCGTTGGTCTCCACGCCCTGTCCCCTTTGAGCCAGGGGCTGTTCCAAAGGGTCATATGTGAGAGCGGGGTCGGCCTTAGTCCAAGAGCCATAGCCTTCGATCCCGTCAACTTCACAAGAAGAGTCAGCGACAACTTGAGCTGCACGACTCTAAACGGGGACGGCAGTCTCAACACCACCTCCTTTATGGCGTGTCTCAGAGGAAAGAATACTAGGCAGATCCTCACAGCTTCTAATCGCGCCAGAGGACACAGTGACCTTGTTTGGAGACTGGAGATTGCTCCAACCGTAGACGGAGAGTTGATCCCAAGACGTCCCGAGTTCCTTATAAGCCGAGAGAACATCCATTTCTACAACCCCATGCCAGATATAGACTTCATGGCCGGGGTCAACAACGCCGAAGGCAACCTCGTCTTTGGGCCTCTCCGAGGCTTTGAAAGGCAGTTGAATTTCAACGTCGATGATGGCATACCAACCAGAGTTCTTTGCCAAAATATAGCTCCAAGTTTATCCAACGATTATTACAACGGATCTACGGAAATCGCCGAACAAATGTGCAATCGGTACTCCACGAACAGAGGCATTGTAGAACAGGGTCGTAAAGTGGTCGATCTGTACGGGGATATGATGTTTGTGGCCCCCACAGTCATGTCGACCATCATGCACGCTCGCAACAACAATGGTCGTTCCACCTATCTGTATCTGTTTTCCCAACAGCCCCGTAGAACCGCCCGACCACGGTGGTTTGTAGGGGCCGGACATGGAGCTGAACTGGCGTATGTGTTTGGGAGACGGGTCATCAACCCTTCCCTGTCGCTGCAGATGATGAAGTACTGGTCCAACTTTGCCAAATTCGGGTATGTATGTTAATTATGTATTTATATAAGAGTGAGTGAGTGAGTTTAGTTTTACGCCGCTGTTAGCAGTAATCCAGCAACATCAGGGCGGGGGACACCAGAAATTGGCTTCACACATTGTACCCATGTGGGGAATCGAACCCGGGTCTTCGGCGTGACGAGCGAACGCTTTAACCACTAGGCTACCCCACCGTCGCTATTAATATAAGAGGGTGAGCGTGTGGGTGAGTTTGGTTAACCGTGGCTATTAACATTACTCCAGTCATTTCATGGCGTGTCAGCATTATTCCAGGAAAGGGTCCCAGTGAGTGGGTGGGTTTAGTCTTTTGCCGTCTGATTAGTTTTACGCAATATCCCAGCAATATGGGACACCGGAAATTGGCCACAGTCTTTTTGTTGAAACCCACGAAACATAATCCAACCCACAGTCATAGGTTCCTGGCATCGCTAAGAGAGGTAACTCTGAACAGCGCACATCATTTTCATATATTTATAACGCCTGAAATATACCAACTCCTTTATTATTTACAACACGACGTTTCTGGGCTACTTAGGAACCGTTCATAATTTATGGGTAGGGGGGTGATGATGATTTTTATGGAGAAGCATGTACAAAATCAATGACCCCCCTCCATTTCCCATTATTTCTAAGCATAATTTTAAGATATGTTTATGTACAAAATTGCTCACCCCTAAAATCATCAACAAAATAATCAACCCCCACCCCAGACAGCCCCCACCAACGGTTCAGTGAACAGATTATCTACCACCTGTTACCTACATTATTATGGAATAGTCAAATAAAAACACACACACACACACACACAAGACACTTACACACACACACACACACAACATCAATAAACACACACACACACACACACACACACACACACACACACACACACACACGCCATAAATTATGAACGACCCCTTAGTTCAATGTTTCGGTTGTATAACTCATATTACCATCAATGCCTCGTCAGCGCGGAGCATCCACGTCAGTGACGCTGTGCGGTAATTGGTCATATATAGCGTGGAGATCCACTGTTCCACCGAGAGTTTACAGTGTAGGATGAGTATTTCATCGTCGCTCTGCATTGAAATGATAGCAGGTTTTATAGCCACCAAGCGCCTGAAATAATTGTAAAAGTTGTTTGTTGATGACACCGGTTTAAATACCCTTGAAATCGTGAAAGACAAGGTTTAGATTTATTCTATAATGCTCGTCTCTGGTAAATGGATTATCACCATAGTGACTCATGATCATATTATAAATTATTTCAATGTTTCGGTAATATAACTCATATTACCATCAATGCCCCGTTAGCGCACAGCATCCACGTCAGTGACGTAATGCGGGAATTGGTAATATACATGGCACTGAGTAGTTCCACGACGGTATGCGGGATAGCAGATAGCAGGATTTAACTAAGCAAAGGCTTCCAGAGAGTGTAGGTATCTATTTGATATGAAATATGAATATTACGCGGCACTCAGTAATATTCCAGCTATAGGCGGCGGTAAATAATCGAGTCTGGACCAGACAATCCAGTGATCAACATCATGAGAATCGATCTGCGCAATTGGGATACGATGACATGTGTCTGACCAAACGATCCCGTTAGTCGCATCTTACAACAAGCATGGGTTACTGAAGATCAATTCTAACGCCTGTACAGCGATCTGTAAATAATCCAGTCTGGTGATTGCAGCGTGTATTTCCTACTGTATTTACGTTTATTTCAATAGTGTACTACCCCCGTTTTGGACCTATGTCACGGACAGTGTTTATAGCCTTCCGTCTTTGAGAGTTTATTATGCACAGTTGATACAATCTTATACCCATTTCAGGAATCCTAACGGTTCCCCCGAATCTCAGCATCTTCAGTGGGAACAGTTCGACGTCCCGAGAAAAGACTACATCGACCTCGGGCCAACTATTCGAGCTCTTCGAGATCTTTGGCCAGAGAGAATGAGATTCTGGAATTCCTTCGTACCAGAGACATTGGATCGCTTTCCACGAAACGCCGAAACTCCGATCACCACTGACCCTAATTTCTGGTCTACCAACAGAGGTCAAGGTCGCAGTGAAGGGCAAGGTCGATCACCTTCAACCGCGCCTAGCACCTCTGGAACAATAAGATATTTGGGTACAGTGCTGAGTGTGATAATTCCATTACTGACTGCTTCCAATCTAGAACCGATACATTGAGAATGCACACATACGGATAATACTTCTTACAAATGAGTGCAAGACGGTCTACATCAATAAAAGTGTACACATTATCTGCATAAAGTATGAAAGGAAACTTGGGCTTAAGGGAAAGGTTTTACAATGTGTTCTCATGTCAGTAACATAAGACGTAACATTGTCATGAGTGCTACGTTAATGACGACCTTGTGGCCTTCACCGCAGGCAACGTTTACTTTAGAGGCCCTTGTGACATACAAGGCTTGTTGTCCAGATATATATTGTCCACACTATATGTTGGATGGTTTCTTTTCTTAGCGGAGGCGAGATATGACTGATGCCAGCATCAAGGTGTTAAACTGGTGAACAGTTGTTCATGTACATCTTTCAGAATTTTCAATCGTGTTCAATATCCAAAACGACGTAATATAGAGCGCTTTTATTTAGATATGAAAGTTAACTAAAGTGTTGGCTTGAAAACGTAGTCACAGATCTACACCAACTGTGCAGATGGTAATCTTTCGTACATCAGAATTGTTGATTCAAGAAATATTCCACAATTATTTACTTTTTTCCAGGCAATGACATAGCTTACCCCAGGAACGGTAGAGTCTACATGGGTCCAAACATACGTCTATTTAGACCAAGAATTGGCGTGGCAAATCCCTCAAAACATACGCTGATGCCAGGCAGATACGCGTCTAATTCAGAGATACACGTATTGAACCCACGAGGACATATATGGAATCCTAGAGGACATGGTATGACCCCCAGGGCTCAGTTTCACCATCGCGAGGGACAGGTAGACTATCCAATTGGACCCGAATTGAAACCAAGTGGACACGTGTCTATACAGTATTCGATCAATGTTTCTGGACAATGAATTTCCAATTGATGAAAGAATTATTGTACAACACTGTTTTCATGAGAGCGAATAAAACTCGTGTTATATAGACGCATTAGTTGACCCCTTCTTTTGCTAATTTCCCTTATAGGCACAATGTCACACATTTTCGACAATTTTGGGCCTATATTATATATATTAGGGCATATGCACTCACTTTAGCTTCCCATTGATGCAACAAAAGACTTATTATCCCTTACGACTTGCCTGAAATCGATAATTGCAACTTCGAGGCGAACAGCTTCCAAGCAGAAACACTTGCCATATATGGAATGTAAACATGTTCCGTACATCGAAAATTGTCGGTGTTAACTCTATGGGGTTCGCTTGAAATAATATTCGGTTGGTAGAGGGCGCGAGAGTCGATTTAATGCAACGTTGCATTAATTCAGTCGAACTTTTCAATTTAATATTGTAATCTAAATACGTAATTTTTGGGGGAATAAATTATATTGCATCTTCCCTGAAGGCTGGCTGTTAGTATTATTGAGAGAAATGCATTATTTATTTTTAGAGAAGTGTGGTGTGAAATAGTGCTTCTAAATCAACACCTGTCCGTACAAGAAATAATCGGACATGAGTCCTTAAAAAGAATTTTGTCATCCAAAATATGGAATACTAAGGTGTCTTTCTTCACAATGACATATGTGTTGTCGCACACAACACGTCGTTTAATATAGTGATATATATGGCTTCAAGGAAAAATGGCAAGATGACATTATTTTGTCTCGATTGAAACGGTTTCCGAAAAATAGTTCATGTTTCATGTTACTATGACTTGTAAAGAGGTCCATATATCACCGATTGTCCTGACTTCACAACCTCTGGGTTATTCTCGAAACGTTCGTAGCCCTAAGAATTCTTAACTTTGATCGTAGCCAAAGTGTTAAGAATGGGCTTAAGAAGTTCGTAGGGCTTCAGAAGTTTCGAGAATAGCTAGCCTGTGTCGTATTTTCGAGGGATGTGTCACATTTTTTATAATCAAATATCTTTCTCTGAGACATCAAAATCAAGATAAACATATGGAGTACAAAAAGCAAGTTATACAACCGCTATATATACAATTTTGTTAGGGAATATATCCTAGAATGTTCCGAAATTTGTTCCTACTTCTGTCAACCATGTCATACCGGCTTCTGTGTCAATGAAGTTATGTCTCTTTTTTTAAAATATCGTGCATTTTCATATCTATATAGTACATATAAACTGGAACTGTCATAATACTATGTGCATACTTCATATACATATCATCATGTATCCCAAAAAGGTTTTCGTGATCTCCAAATGTAATAATCAAGTATTTCCATTACTGTAAAGATTATAGTAATTATGATTATATATACTAACTTTGGGATCAGGAATATATCGTTGATATATTTTTGCAATAAAGGCCATGTTTTATTCAAATATGTACGGTATGTGAAAATATAACATGTACTCTATCAGTTTTATATTATCATAATAAACCTTGTTTTTAATAATGCGTTTAGTCCCTTTGTTCACCTCTCATGAAATCTGTGTTGTAATAAATGTCATGCAAGCTTATGGATACAGCACAGTTCATTTTCACCCTTTTTCACGACAGTTTCAATGGTCATTTAATAAAATTTCAGGACGAAAAAAAGGGGCGGGGGATGGGGGTGCGCACCCCTGGACAGGTACCTCTGGATCCGTTTATTCCGTGTAACTTATGTATGACAGCACTGAAATTATCTGTAAAGGCTGTCATGAAGATAAAATGAGCACACTCTTTTTTGCAGGTAAGATTATTAAGCACTATGATGAGATTTAATGAAAATCAGTTTTTAAAGTCTAAAGCTGACTTTAGATATGTGATATGTAAGGCCAAACCCCAAACTCCGAAACACGTCCACAGTGTATTGTGTTTGATTTCGATTTTTACAAATGGAGGAAGTGGATAGCGGTATTTGTGTATGTGTGAGCTATGTGTCACTTTGCGCGTATTGGCCAGCCAATGAAAAGTCTAGTTTTGATGACTATACACGTACACATTGTGTTTGTATTTGTTATACGTCAGTGGTATATTTGTTGTTATAAACGTTATGAGGGATGCCGACCCGTGAAGATCAGCGTTAGATATGATCTCCTGCCCCATGTCGTAAGAGGCGACTAACCGGTGGTCAGGCTCGCTGACTTGGTTGACACATGTCATCGTATCCCATTTTTCGTAGATGTTTGATCATACTGTTGATCATTAGATTGTATTGTCCAGACTCAGTTATTTACAGACCGCTGTCATATTCATATAGCTGGAATATTGCTGAATGTGGCGTTAAATAACAAACCATCCAAGAAGCTATTGGGGATGCCGATGTAGTCCTTTAAACTACTGTTCTGAAAAGATATATTGATTATCGTTTTTCAGAAAAAGAGACAAACCCTTTCATAATCATAAAAAAATGTTCTGCTAAGAAGCACATTCCATTGTTCGACTCCTTACTCTGTTATAAGCAGATCGTAAATCAATAGGCGGTGGGGTAGCCTAGTGGTTAAAGCGTTCGCTCGTCACGCCTGACCCGGGTTCGAGTCCCCACATGGGTACATTGTGTGAAGCCCATTTCTGATGTCCCTCGCCGTGATATTGCTGGAAAATTGCTAAAAGCGGCGTAATACTCACTCACTTATGAATAAAAAATAAAGTAATGATGATAACAGGTACAGATAACAGTCTACCCTTCCCGGGTACCCTTAGTACCCGTAAAAAATAACCCTCGCCACTTGTCTCAACATTCAGGATCACCCAAGTGATGCAGAATCTGTGTTTTGTCCGAAAATTTTAAACCGTCTGTTATTTCAGTGTGACAGACGTTTTAAACATGTATGTGATTTCATTCCAGAAGACTAAGGTAAATTGTGTATAAAGCTTATCGTCGCAGTCCTGTCAAAACCTCGTATGTCGGCATTTTGCCAAAATTGACTTTAGATGAAAAATACATTCATCTAGTTAGTATCAATGCATTTTCTGTCAAATTCTCATAACAATCCTCCAATAGAATTCCAAGATACAACCATTTTTCAAAAGCACCTATCTTATTGGTCCCTAAAGAGTGACATGTAAAACCTCGTAAGTTTCAGCGCTACCATTTTGTGAGGATGTGTTTCGATGCTTATTCACATTACTACAGTGGTATTGTGCTCGAAATACCACCTATGTTATCAAATTCATTAAATGCGGTGAAATAAATGCAACAAGTTGAAATAAACATAAAACAATAGGTTTTGACACAGGGGCGTAGGAACTGAAGAATCTGGAAAAATGACTGACACCACACGCCACACACCATCACGACTAGTTCTTGCAGACGACAATCAGAAAGCAATCAAAGGTGAAGTCCTCACTGTGGATCTACCAGCTGTGTTGATTGCACCATCACTGAATGGTAGTGCATTGTAGCATAAAACCAAGGTGGCCTGTGACAACTTTGATGTTGCTTCACATGACGTCATGTAATACGTCTGGCATGAAGGTCACGGGGAGCTAATTGTTCCTGTGTTTTCCTCCTGCATTACAGACTTCGTCAAAAGAGGAGTTTCCCGAGGTGACACAGTGAGACACACAATTCGGTGACGACGATGCATATATGATGCGGTCTGAATGTGAAATCAGTCATTTCGTGAAATGACAAAGAGGATCAGCCATTTTGCCATTGGCTATATTAATAGGTTTGGACATTTCCATCAAATTTGATGTAAATGTGCTTGATAACGATGCCAATGTTCGTGATGCACGAAACAAATCGCCAAAACGCATTTCGTGCCCCCGACTCTCAGCAACACGACACGCGTATCTTATTCGGATACATGGGAAAGATCGTGCGAAAAATCAGTATAAATGGCCTGTCCAACACTGCAATATCACTGCACATAAAGTCACACAGAGAGAATGCCAAGGTTAACCCAGGAAGAAAGAGAACGAGCAGTAGGGATAGTTGAATGGCTGACCCTCTTAGTCATTTCACGAAATGACTGATTTCACAATGTGACTGTAACATATATGTGATAAACAAAATGAAGATTCATTTATCGTCAGAGTGCTCCTTTATTCCACTTCTCATGTCAGTTCATGTTCATGTCCCTCAAATTCATAGTTTCACAG